GATTTTGAGTATAGGATTTTTTTTTCAATCTGAATGATCTCTTCAAGATGTACATTTGGAAATTCCTACACAGAACTGATGGTCACACCTGCTTCAGAAAAAGCAACTAATTGCCTTTTTATTTAATCACAGAAGTGCTGCTTCAAAAATCCCAGCAGAGAAACTTACACTATTATTTTCTGTAGTTGTTTCTGGTTTTGCAAAAACACAACAGGATTTCCCCCCACCTTTTAACCTGAGCAGTACGTGTTGCTCATCTATTTAAAGCTTTGTTGATCCCAAAGAGATTGTTTCCTGAAGCCTCTTGCTTACTCTTATTATTTCTGGCCTTAAATTTATGTCTCAAAAACCAGCACCCTTTGATTGATAGGTTATGTTAGATGAAAAATTCCCCTTTTAACCTTAGTTATTATGTATGCAACAGTTCCAAAAAAACCCCAAACAACCAAACCCCAAAACTGCAGATATGGCACTTTCACAGCTTCATGGATTGAAAGGCTGCAAGAAGTCTTTCCATTCTCAACATACTTGGTGGTTTCCTTCCCCAGGTCAGCCATACCACCCAGCAGCAGTACAAAAAAGCTCTGCAAGTCCATGTTCTTTGTTGGTGTGCTACACAAGGTAAACTTTCACCCAATGTTACATTATTTGTTCTACCAAACAGGGGTAAAACAACAGAGAATGGTATTTGAATGGATAGTATTTAAAGAATCCTTTCTGCATGCTTGTTTAAACAAGATACTTTACAATTTAACAGTAATGTTCATCTTGATTATGAGTGTTTCATTTTGCAGATAACTAAGACACCAGAGTCTATTAAAAAATGCACTATGCAAATCGTTCTAGCACTTATGTAAATAACAACAAAAGCTGAATTCTCACCTAGAGAAGCGAAGCAGGTTTTTTTTGTTCCTACTGAGGGTGCTGACTTCTAAAGAAAGGGTAAATAAACTTTTATTCAGTCATTGGATGACAGCTATATATATATACACACATGTTGTAAAACATGTCAAATCATTGTTGCTTAACTAAAGTTTAGGAAGAGTCCAATCATCACACATTAATTACCATGTTATTAAATCCATCCTGTTTGTAAGCTTCTCCAAGGATTTGAGACCAATTCCTACCTCTGACTCACCCCTTCCCACTCCCCAAAACATAAGTATGACTCTACAATGTATTCTTAGGAACAGTATCAATCTTCAGTGGCATTTACTCACCAGAGGCAATACAGCCGTGTTACAAACTGAAGGTACTAAAGTTCCATGGCAACTACGAACGCATTTGAAACACTTCAATTATATTTGAGCTTTTTCCTCCTCTTCGTTTTTCTTTTTTCCAGCTATCCTGCCTTACAGTGTTTGCAGTAAAAATAATTCTTAGCAGCTAACGTCTTTCAGATATCTTCTAGAATCTCATCCGTTTCTCTTTTCATGACATTTTAAGCATTGTGAATTAGGTTATAAGAATCCAAGTTAGAAAAATCAAATCCTTTTGAGATAACTAGCCACCTGATACCCTGAATATCTGCACAGATTAGATATTTTTAGATGTGCATAAGCATTTTTAAATACTTTTGCTGTTCTGAATGCTGTAAGCAAACATGAGTACTATGCCAACAGGAATCTGTGGGAAAATTTGAGTGATGCCTGCTCACACTATACCCACCTCATTACAGATTTTATTACTCATTCATTTTAGTAAACTCTAATCTAGGTTATTATGCCACACCCATCACCATGGGAATGTGATTTAAAAGTACCAGAAATATTTTGCTGTTCAGCTTTTTCTCAGACCTTGTAGTGTGATGTGATTGCAATTTCAATATAAAAAAACCATTTGAGTAGTTACACTTGTCAGACTCAGAAAAATCCAATAATTACAACCATCTTCAGTGCAGCAATAGTATTTCTTTACAGAAACAGTGAAGTAACAGTGAAGTATAGATAAACAGTACAGATAAATTGCTAAGAGATCAAGATGAATTCATTCCCAACCGTGAGAGAAACAGCAGGGATGACTCCCCATCCCTCATTAACTGTATGTTTTACAGCAGAGGTAAATACTGTAGTTTTACTTACTGGTTCTGCTTGATCTTCTCAGAGTGTTATCCAGACTGACCACCACCTCCATAGAAAGGACAATTTAAAAGATACCTCCGAGTGCCCAGTATTTTGTATGATTACCCTTATTTCAAATTAATTACTAAAAGTTAAAACCAAAAATTATACAGTCCCTGCCACAGACTGTCTGCTTTTCTGAGATCAAAACATAAGCATTAGAAAAATCTCATTTTAAGAGAAAAAGAGGTATCACAGGTATTTTTATAAGTTTTCTTTACAATTTGAAAGGCAAAAGAATAACAAAGTACTCTATTCCCAGCTATGTTTTGCTTTACCAGATAAGCAAAGAAATTTTTAGGCTAAGAGGGGGTAAATTGTGAGGTTTTTTAATACAGGGGTTGTACAGATCATTAGTGAAAAAGGGTTTGGATTTTGGCAGCCTCAGACTTGAAACTAAACACTTACAGATGTTTAAGATCAATAGAATAAGAAAAAAAGAAAAGCTCTCAATGTGTGGCATAGGTGGTCAAAGTCTAATAGTTCATGCTCTAATTCATAACAGGATTCAGGGATAGCCTCTGAACAGCCTACCCAGATAGCCCAGAGGCCAGGCAAGGCCTGGCAACCCTGTGCTTACCCCTGACTAGCCCCAAGCACCTCCCAGCTCAGCGTTTTCCTAGTCCCATGCTAACAGTCTGCTGGAGTGCCTATAACCAACTCATCATACAGATTTTGACTACGTAGGAAAAGATTCATGCCACCTATTTATTAATTAGATTGATATCATTAGAAAAGAATGAGCACTGGTATCGAACAACACTTTACTTACCCCCAAAACCATCTTCAAGACAGACAGGGATAATATCAAGGCTAAAAGGAGAAGGTCTAAACATCTGCTAAGTATTTTGCAGAAGCAGCACAAAAGCAATATAAAAAATAATTCGGAGCACACCGACAGCTCTGTATTTACAACAGCCTAGAGTCTTTCATTATGTGAAGAAACAAAACTGTTAAATGGGAACAATTCCAGTTGTGGGGATTTTAATTCAAGTATTATGTATGCGAGTGTGACAGCATGCGACACATACTTCCAACTGTAGCAGGCTACAGGTGAAGGACAAAAACATTTGCTGACTTGAACAACCAGTCAGTCCAGTCACTCTGGACAAAAGTTCCAGTGGATACAAAACATGGACTCAAACATAGTCCATTCCTGCCCCAAGCCACCCCCCCCAATAATACTTGTTTAGATACTAGAAGATATCAACTTCCAAAAATGAGAGAGATCTGTATCTCCAAGCAGTTTGTGTACAGCAAATACAAAAGTGGCCAAAGTGATAAAAAATGCTGAACAATTTAAAATTCAAAGCCTTAAAAAATTAAGGATTTAACATATTTAAACTATACTTAAACTAAGTTTACTATTACATTAAAAGCCCTGTTGCTGAAATGACTTCACTTTACCCTTACTCTAATACCTTCAGTATAATCTTAGAAGCAATAAAGTTAACAGATACCTTAGTGGTAAGTCTGGGAATTTGTACAAACTTTGAAGACTTATCTACTGTGAATAATTAGGTGGAAGGGTGATTTATTATTAATTTATTGTAAGCACACGGAGCACTAAAGGGTACTAAGCATACGAAGATGATTTTCATCTTGTGGTTGCTGTAAGCAAGGCAGAAGTACACAACTACTCCTGTAAAGTTTAGGCTTCATGTCCTACTAAAGAATTTCATAAGAGCTATTAAAAAAAGATCTGCTAAGGTGTGGAGAGTGAACTGCATGTTTAAAACATGATCGCCACAACACACCCAACAGGTGTGTACACTGAAATCATTACCTCATGCCCTGCATCCCATTATCATCCACATGGGAATGATACAGCACATAATGGCTTGTGTAAACTGTCATTACTGGCTTTTAACTTTATGGGAGGAGGAGGCTGGGAGAAAGTACAAGATCTCTGTATGCTTCGCAATAGAGATTTCTTTGTAAAGTATGCCGAAGCTAGAAGCAACGTATTATTTCATTATCCCATCCTGTTACAGAAAATACTACTATTTCTCCCATTAAAATATGAAAAAAGTCTTTCATTTTAGCACACAAGATGAACATTTTTACCTTGACCACTGCTTTCCAAATGCAACCAGATAAACTGAACTGGTATATGCTGCAAAAAGTTTTTTCCAGCCTCTCAGAAGACAAGCAGTTCATATATAAAGACACTGGTTTTCCCTTCCTGTAAAGTTTAGAGAAAAAAAAAGGAAATAAATATAAAAGCTTTAATTACAAAAAGCCTGGGGTTCTCTTCAGCATTCAAATGCAGAGTGTACCAATAGCATATATTAGATAGATCTTTGGGAAATATGTGATACCTGCAAAGCTGAGAATTTTAAAAAGTAAGTTATATTATCAAAACCTGCTTTGAACATCCCCCCTTCACAAGGCTTTTCTTGGAGACTTGCTATCTATTTTCTTAGAGACTATGCATCTCACGTGGCTAGGAAGACTTTTATTCCTGCATTTATATGAGGACAAATGCTTTACCAGCTCCAATGAACGCTGTTAAGTCAATCTAGTACTCCCTCTGTTGGCAACACAACTGATGTACAGTCATTTCACCTACAGGTCCCTCTGAAGGCAAGGGGGAAAAAAGCGTTACAACAAGTAATCAGCAAAATTAGAACACTTTTAAACTTTCAGAAGTGGCCAATTCTTCAGATTATGAAAACTGAGTGATATGGCAAGGTTCTATTTTAGTTAAAATAATTATAACAGCTTCTCAATTATGAAAACCTGAATCCAATTTTTGTGACCCTTCCCAATATATTTAGCTTTATTAATCTTCATTTTAATCAGCTTGTTTTTCTAATGATCTTCAGCAGCTTATTTTCAAAAATTAGCAGTTTGATGGTATAGGACTCAAATTAAAAATCTTTATATAAAAGCTCATTTATTAAACCTCTGTACACAACAATGAACATGTATGTACAGCAAGTTTACATGAATGATGATGTTACAAAAGATACAGTGGTAATTAAAACTGACCCACATAAATAATTTATAAAAATATTTGAAATGGTGAAGATAATGCTGGTAATCCCTGATTATTTTAATCCAACTGCCAGGATTTTAATGTGGGAAATCTTAATGTTAGAACTTTTAAAAAACATTCTGAATATATTAAACTTATCTACAGGATAATTAGCAAAATGTATCAAGTATAGATTATTGTACAAAGGACAGATATTAAAAAAATCACCAATCCACCTGAAACTCAAGGACAATATAAACCTTAGCCAAAGTAATTAACAGCAAACCACAAACTCCTCTTTTTAGAGTTTTATGTATTGGCAAATAAATCGCCCTTAACAAATCAACAGTCCTGGTATTCCTTAATGGAATGGTGCAATTTGGGAAAATTTTTCTGTATTTTCTGGCCGCATTGGTGGTCCTGGTCAATATGGAAACCCTGCACTGACTTCAGTTCCAAGGAAGAATGGGGCAGAGCTGTATTTGACAAGATTTTCTCCTTCCCACAAAGGATGAGGAAGGGTATTTGAGTTTGTAAAACTGGAGGAGAGAGAAGGAAGCAGGGATTTGGGCATAACGAAACAAATTAAAAACAGTTAAAATTAAGTCTTTTTCTTTTGCTGGTTTCTTGGGGAATTTTTTAACACGCTCCTTATTCGTAGATAAACGCCTGTTGATTCTGCCATATTTTCAAATTCAAATGGTGTTATGCCTGCAGCAAACTTGCTCATATCAGGAACAAGACTGGAATTTCTTGCAGATGATTCAGTGCTTGTGGCTACCTTATTACCACCTGTATTTTCTCCATCGTTAACCTCACGGTTGGGAGCAGGCATGGTGTTATCCAGCAAACCTTCAGAATCTGTATTTTCAGGATTTTCCTTTAAATTAAGTAAACTATCTCCTGGACTAGGACCAGTTATAGAATGTTCATTTTCTGATATCTGTTCACTGATGTCAGAAAGCCTTCTTTCCACTGTAATCACCTTATCAGATGATTTTACTTCTGCAACAAGATCTACTTCGTTCCTAGATGGTGATGACGTAACAGAATTTCCAGTTAAAGGTGTATCGATGGGAATATCAGAGTCACTGTTTGTGCTTTCTGCCTGCTCTAGAGCTGCCCAGATTAATCGCTGCTGTTCCTCCAGCTCTTCCAAGGTCAGGGTATCCTCATCCATGATTGAGTCCACTATTTTTGGCTGAAGAATATCACTGGAAGGATTCAATGGTGGAGTAGTCCTAGGAAGAGGAGGGCGGGTGGGTATTGAAGGTTGAAGCGGTGTAAGATTTAGTGGAGGTGTTCCTCGTGGTAAAGAAGGAGGAGTTGACATCGATGGATGTCCAGGTGGCAGTGGAGGTTGGAACTGAAAACTATTATGAGTTTGAGATCTTTGTGACACTTCCATATCTAGAAACAGATTAAAAGACATCTATTAGAATCTGAAATGTGACTGGAACAAGACTCAAAGTGCCAGTGTTCTGATTAACTACCAGACTTACATCTTTTCATCCTTGGTTTTCAGCTGAGATAGAACAAACTTTTTGAAGGTTTTAATATCCACTGAAACTATGGTTTTGGGGATTTCAACGCTGCTAGCCATTCAAGCAGGAAAGGGAAAAAAAAGATAAAATACTCCTGAAGGTATTGAGAACAAGCTTATTCCACACTGAAGGATTTCCTCATAGGAAATCCAGAAGGAAAGCCAGAAGTTTCTCCACCTATTCTAACATTTAAACACCACTAAGTCCTCCTGTGAGTTTGACTCATTTTTAAGAAGTTGTGAGCTTGTAACTTCCTACATTATTTCATCCAGATATTTAAAGACTTGGAGGTCTTCATCACAGAAGTTTCTTTACGATACACCTGAAGTAAAGAGATTGGAATTTGTAACGTAACACTCCAATCGCTCTGGGCACACTTGAAACCTCTTGCTTGGTACTGGAAAATACGACAAACACAGCAACAGAGAATGATTGTTGTACAGAGGCCCAAACACAACTGCACTGGGACACCGCTAGCATATAGTAGCAGTTATGTTAATTACCACCATAACGAATACAGACATATTGGTTTCTCTTTATGAACACTGACATTTCAATTCAGACAAAGTTATAAAAAAAAAAATATTGAAACTAGGAAAAAAAATTGCAGAATAACTATACCAGAATCTAGGTCCATGTTAGCTGCTGGTACCTCTGAATTGTCTTCTCTTGGTCGTTTTGAATGATGAGACCTTGACTGAGATGCAGCCCTTTTATTGCTAGATTTTGGACTTGGCTGGTAAGAAATTATCCAGGAAAACAAAATAAATTAGTATTACATTGTACAAGGTAACATTTCCAGTTATAAGAACATACTTAAAACAATTTCATAACTATACAATCATTCGGCAACTCAGTCTGTAAACTAGACATTGAAGTTTGAGAGATTTCATGCAACTGAACAGAACTGTAATCTTGTTTGGGTTTAAGTGGCAAAAGAAAAGACTGTCTGCATTCCTAAAACAGGATTGTGACCAAGTTTCCACCTGGACACCTAGATCTTCTGAGACCATCACAACTCAAGTATTGTGCATCCCTTCCCGGCCAGCTTAGAATTTAGTGTTTAATTCCATATAGCACTGTACTTTGGGGCAGAGATCAGAGCACACATCTTCCATCCTTAACTGGAAGTAGTCTGCAGTAGGTAACAGTAGGCTAGAGTCACATTAGAGAAGACTTGGGAACAATACAGGACAGGACTACCACATGTTTTCTCAAGTCACTGTAGTAAGATTACTGTAAATTGTGACTATAGCAAGTAAGCTGTTCACTTATTAGGGAAGTCTGGAACTAAGACAGTTTTTAGGCTGTACAAGTTCAAAGCAACCTTTTTTCATGACTGCTTATAATATTGCACAACTGGGATCTGCTTATATTAATAGAAATAACAGAATTTGTTCTAAACATGAAGCTCCTTTTTGTTAGAAGAGATAAGCCAAGCATCAGCATTTCACACGTAGTGGTGTCAATAAGAAAGTCTATTCCCTTGTGCAAAAAAACAAAAGATCATCACTGGCTACATTAACTACAAGACAACATTCTCCCCCCTCCCCGAATAACAATGAGATACATTCACCGCATGAAAATTAGACAGGTAGTGAGCAAAAACATCCTTCTGTTGAGATGGCTGCATGGGGATGGAACCAAATATCTGCCATTCCTATAACATAAAAAAAAAAAAAGAGAAATAACATTGCATATATTTGGCTAATAACATGACGGTAAAACTTAAGAGACACGAAGAGATTAACAAGCCAAGATTAATTCAAGTTCTCATCAAAAGCTTCATTTATTACAGTAAATAGTAGGAACTCTCACTTGTGAACAAAAACAACTGATGCAACACACTATGACCAGTAAGAACAGTAATTTTTAAAAAACCCATCACCTTTACAAAATGTCTTGTTAACCATTTCATAGCAACTACTCTTCAACATTTGCAACACAACTACAAACTTCCCCTTGAAATAACTGTTAAGTCCAAAAAGGGTTACTTTGAAAAACTGTTAATTTTTAGTGAAAACTGAAACAAACTTGGACAGAACACAGAATGAAAAAAACCCACATTTGGAGGCCACTAAATGGGCAAACGTAAAGATGCAAAAGAGAATGTTTGAGTGCTTCTTTTTAATGCACAGGCATTAACATCAGTGATGAAGTTCACTACTAATAGCAAAATGCTTCTGAAAATAAAAGTTCAGCAGCAGCAGCCACAGGAGATTCCCTGTGTGCTCTTTGCTTAAGGGAGCACCCACCGTGTGGGTCTTCTGATAGGACTTGTTTCGTTCGAGCTGTTACAAAGCTTCCCAGAGGTTGTACACTGGTCTGATGTAGTTTTCTATGGTTGAAATTATATTTATGGTAACACCCAGTAATTGTCATATACCAATATTCAGAAAGTGCAGATGTACGGAAGGAGCATGTGTAAAGTTGTGTGTTTAAAAAAAGCCCCACTGAACTATCCTTCTAGGCTCCTGTTGGTCTCATAGTGGAAATAATCAGCACAGAAGCACTGTCAGACCCTATGCACAAGAGCTGACACAAGATATCAGATAGATGGATATCATTTCAACTACCTCAACAGCCTCCAGTCCCAAACCAGGTGCTTAAAATTAAGAGCCTGTTGAAAGAAAATTGTCGGATGCAGAACACAAAACATTAAACTTGGCTAAAAGCAATTAATAGTACTCAGCATGTTGTTTAGAAGGCAGAGGACAGCCACTTACATCTGGGATCCCACTTGGAGTGGATATATTAAAGCCTGGATAGTTTATCAACTTAGAGACATCGTAAGTGGTGCGTTTCAGCTGGTGGGATCCTTCATCTTCTGTTCCACCATCATCTATAAAGAAATATGTTTATTATTGTTGCTCATTAAGAACATTACTGAAAAAATCCACAGGATTTAAGAACAGAGTTTTGGGGTTTGGAATATAAGTACTGATAGAGGTTTTGTAATCCACAAAGGCAATAATAGTGACCAAATTATTTGGATATTTGCATGAAGCTTCCCCAGAAACCTATCTGGGTATTCATCATACTACTACTCTTCATGTACTATTACTAGCCTCAGAATTTGTATCAGGACTGTTCTGCAAGATGCAACATAAATGTTGGTCATCAGTAAAAAGCTGGTAAATTACTTGGTAAGTTGGATTTCAAGAAACATATTCTTTGCTTGCTGGTGGTCTTCTTACTCTTACATAATAAGTTATATAAACTTTAGAGAATATTATTGTTTCTTTCATAAAACCTAAGTAAAGTTTATTAAAAAAAGGAAGAAGAAATTTGACAATAGGCTATCTGCAAGCCCCGCAGTTTCACAGGAGCTCTGTGTTCTAATAGCAAGGGCCAATTAGAGTGAAATCACACTGATGAAGTCTTCACCTATGCAATCCAATCGTTATAAAAGTTACTTCACTGTCACATCATAGCTACTTAATTGTCTCCTGAATAGTGCACAGCCAGTCATAGCCTGCATGCTGAAAACTGCCTTCCCACAGCACACTCCTTACCTTTGCCATCGTAAAGCGCAAGTCCCGAGTGCTCCATTTCAGCCTCCTTGAGCCAGCCTGGAGGATAACCCAGCTGACGCATGCGATAGATAAACGGAGGAAGACTCTTATCTGTGACACCGAGTGCATCTTGAAGTTCCTCGCTAAGTTAAGAGAACAAACAGAAAACCGAATGTCCTCCAAGGAAAATCCATAATCGAATTTTGACAAAAGGAAGTTAAGAACATTTTGTTGAATTTTAAACTGTCAAGTTGAAATAACTTAGTTTTAGCTAAACTATGTTGCCTGTCAACCCCAGATATAACAATTTTAATTTAAAATCAGCTCTGATGTTAAAGACAACTGTTAATACTTTAACTTCTTGTATTCTTAATTACAAGAATTAATTCTACACCAAGAACAACTTAACTTGTAACTTCTAATTCATGGCCTTAACTGTGGCTATCATGACAGGAAGGGTGGAACAATGCAAAATCAAATTTACTGGTGATTTCTTTGGAGACTGCTACAGCCATATTATGATTTTTTAAAACATTTTGAATAGAGAGAAAGAGGAAGGGACACTCAAGGCTCAAAGTTTTAATAATTCTGCATGCATTTTTAGTTTATTAGGAACATAATTGCAATTTGAGTAGCCAAAGAGTAACATTTATCTCCCTACACTGGGGAAAGTGCCACAGGAAAGGGTAGGACTATTAAGCTAGCAATGAGTTTTCATTTGAAAAATACCTGTGTAACTTATTAAACCAAACTGTATTTTGCAAACAAATTCAAACATAATACACCCACAGTTAAGAGTGGCAGATGGACTTAATACAACTATGGAAAGTAACATCTGGCACTCCAAAAGTAGAAAAGATATTCCAGAAAAGCAGCGCAACAGCTAATGGAAGAAAAAAAGATACCTAATTACTCCTGGTTTAAATTTTCCAAACCTCTCTTCTACTTCTTCTGCATGATAACGCTGCTGAAAATTCTGATTGCTCGCTTCACCACAAGCTTCCAAAAATTCCTTTCTCTTCTCACTTATACGAGCTGCATTTCGTGGCTTAAAGATAATACAATTGGGAAGTTTACATTTGAACCATTTACAATTTATGCACTCCTTCACCCAACATAAAACTGGCACTCCTTGCCCTCAGCATGCTTAATCATTTATCACCTGGCCATGTGATAGAACTACAGTTGTAATGAAAACTACATCACAAAAAAAAAAAAAGGAGTATTTACACTGGATCTAGTGAAGCTCTCAAACAGGAGGAAAGATTATTCAAACTGCAAAATGTCCCTCTATAAACTAAAGGAGATATTCAAACCATTATGCTACAAAATTAATTTACATTCTGATTTACAATGTTAGAATTTATGAGTACGAACAGTATAATCTAACCAACAGAGATGAACAACCATTTGTACATCCTAACCCCAGTGCATCTAATTATTTTTATTTTAAATGGTGCAGTTACACTGAAACATTTCTTGGAGAGCAGCAGGCTTTTGAATATTGATGTAGACTTTACCTTTGGACAGTCTTTCATCTGATGGTCTTCAGAACCACAATTGAAACAGTGAGGTTTTGGCCTGCTTAAAAAATGCAGAAAAAATTAAGCCTGAAAATAATTTTGCAATGTTAAATGCACTTAATCATTGTAAATCTTGTTAAATTTTTAGTTTTAGACTTAGAAAGAAAAAAAATGTAGGCATTGCGTGCCGATTTCATATGCTGTCTTCTGCTTCTCTAAAACTGACTGCTTAATGTCAAGCTTCAAAAGAGAGTAACACAATCCTGTTTACTTCACAGTCCTAAGGAGAACATAAGACATAAAAGACACACAGCCACAGCATGAGGGGACATGACAGCATGTGGAGAGGAAAGAAAGAAAGAAAGAAAGAGAACTAAAAGTACAGTGGAAAAGTAGTAATTCCAAGCAGAAATGGAGTTTTTACATCCCATATAATAGAGATCTATTCCTTTAATAGGGAATAGAATAGTCATAGAATAATTCAGGCTGGATCTCAGGAGACCTCTAATCTAGTCCCTTAATCAAAGCAGGGTCAGCTGTAAGATTAGACCAGGTTGCACACAGATTTATCCAGTTGGGTCTTGAGTATCTCTCAGGATAGAGACTGCATAACCTCTCTGGGCAACCTGATCCAATAGTTTACTGCCCTAAAGGTGGAAAAGCTTTTTCTTGTATCATGCTGCAGACAAAAGAGTACTCACCAAAGGATTTCTGCTTCTGATTGAATATATAAACATTTGCTTAGGTAGCACCAATACATGAAAGCAAAACCTACACACTAAAGCTTATGCTATGTCCAGAGGAAGGAAAGTGAAGATGTTAAAACAATACTTTTAACTCTAGAGTGCAGATAAGGAACCCGTCAATTTAACATGCCTGTCACACATTAATACCTCTGTTTTTCTTTTTATGCTTTTATCATCAGAGGTCTGATTTTTTACAATAGTGAGAATCAGTTATCAGTAGAAACAAGCATAACTACTTCTTTGGAAAGTCCTGGTCCACAGTTTGAACAAGTTATGCATATTGTGAAATTGTGCACTGAAAACCTGGAATGGAACTGCAGCTGCCTTCAAGTTTAATTTTCCTTGTAAATTCATACCATGGCAGCAAACATTTTCACTATTATGGGGGAGGAATCCCAATCTCTTACAAGGTTCTAGAGAAAGATTTCTTTTCTGAACATTCCTTTTTACCAAATTTGGATGGGAACTAGAAGTGGAGACAAAAGGTTGACACAAGAATGAATGCCCACACAGGCACACACTCCAATCCCGAATCCTCTAATAAGATTAAGTGAAGTGCATCTTCATCAAACAGAAACCTTCTGCGGGGATCCAAGTATTTTATCACCATCCCTATCATGAGCACAACACCCTTCAATCTGCTTTCCATTCAGACAGTAGTATGAGTTTAACTCAGCATGCCCCTTTATCTTTTGAAATTCCCACTAAAAGCTTGCCTGGTCTTCACTTCATCTGAAAATCAGTGACTTTAGATGCTGCGAAGACCACCCGAGCTGTGAGGTGGAAACTCAATTCACTTCTTACCTCCCATAAAAGCTATACAATCAACTCTTAAAATCAATTTGTCTTAGAAGTCTGTACAAAGTAAATTGAACAGGAGTTGTTCTACAAAACAGTAGGAATGATGATAGCACACCAGTGCAAGGATGACAAAAGCAATCACTAAAAAGGCAAGCAACAGAAGAACCAAGCATAAACTCCAGAAAGTTTTTACACACTGATTTTAGGCCCTTCTTTAAGCAAATCAATAAACAAGAGACTGACTGACTGCAAAGCAGTCAGCACTGGTTTACTTAACTTAAACTCATCGCTCAAGTATGTTCAAGGGTTTAGTATACTGGGGAATAATCATAGTGTACATCTGAACTTTTCAGCTCAAAACTTTATATTTAAGAATAATACAAACCTTTTTGGTTTTACTTGTATTTCTTGTCCTTCTAGGGAGAGAATCTGGCTGAAAACTTGCTGATATCTTTAGATTTCAATAAGGAACTGCTACTGGATGAAGCAAAATTTCAATCTTGTTTAAAATATCAGTGAAAACCTAACAGTGCTTTGAATGGAATACTGACTCTTCCAGACAGATGGGTCCTCGATATGGTCCATAGTATAAGCTATAAAACTATACCTACGATCAACTATTTGTTAAGAAGGTCTTACGTTGTTTCCCCCTAACCAATTTCTATCCAGTAACCAATTTTGTTCTTTATCAGCACTTGCTAAAACCGTCTTGTTTATAGGCAGAAGTTTTAAGCTAATAATTCTGATACGCTTCACAGCAATCTTATTAATAACGTATTTTGGTAGAGTTTCAAAAATATAACTCACTTCTCAAGTAGGTAGAGACAGGTCATATCATACTACTTGTGTTAGCTTTTGGACTGCAGTGTGTCAGCTGCTCTGCCCATTTGTCTAAGAAAAGTATGAGAAGACAAGAGGGCCGCCAGCAAACCGGCATGGTAAAGACTAAGAGGTTCAGCAGAGTTCAGAAGCACAGCAGTTTCCAGAATTTACCAGTTGCTTTTAAAAGGAAGAGCAGATGCCAGATACGAGTTGAACTGAGAAGCAGTGTTAATTGAGTGCAGTACTTCAGTCAATTAGAAGCATGGTACTCGATATACCATTCCACTCAGAAGTGCTATTTTTGGCTTAATGTCATCTATAGGAGATCTAAAGAAAGACCCAGTAAGTATATTTAAAGAACAGTATCAAAGCTAAGCTGGCAGATGTGAAAGTTTAGCCACACTTAAATTGGCATTTTAGGAGAAATTCCCCTGTTAGGCATCTACTTCCTTTATCTAGAGGTTGGGAGACAGTACAAATATCAATTGGAGAATAGGATTTAGAGAATAGGCACTAGAACAGAGACAGCTTTCCAAATGTAAAATTACAGCACAGTGCATACATACTCAAAGGCAGGCACAAGAAAACCCAAGTTAGCCGGCTTATAAATTTGCAATTTTCATTCAGATACAAGTAGTTTTTTAATACTAGGAAATGACCTTTATTACAAGTTTGACAACTAAATATTGCCGAAATTAACTGTGAAACTGGTTCTCGTCCTGACTCCTTCCTGGGGCAGAAGCAATACTGGAAAACTGGGGAGATGAGATTACTTGTGCAATTTCTTTTTTGTCATGGAGGACTACAGTATTAAAAAACACTCTTCCCAACATCTGCCTCAATCCCACCTTTCAAAAACTGGCTTTAATAAACAGTAAAGAATCAACTTTAAAATTGGTGCAAGTTAAAAGCATTCCAGAATTAAATTTTAAGAGACTTTCCCTCCGGCTCCCTCATTTGGAATAAAACACCTTCCAGTATATTTGAGTTTGCCAAATCCTTTTCTTCTCCCAGACAGCTGATTTTATAGAGGGAGAAGGCTTATTCATATCTGGAATGAGCCTTCATTTCAAACCTGATTACAGACTGTCCCAGAAAATTCCTAAAGTCACAAGATGTATTTATGGGGATAAGGTATTCACTCTTCCCAAACATAAGCCTTCTAAAAATAAGCAAGCCAATCACATCAAAATACTTATATGTTTTGAGTAAAAAAAAAGCCATTAATGACTCATTAAAACTTTTCATCCGTAATGACTGATAGACATGTACAATCTACTGAACAGAATTTGAGTTCAATTTACCGACTGGCATGCTTTGGTTTTGACAAACGGAAAAACCCCTTGTTTTAATAAACAGGATACTTAGGTATTTCCCATCCTTCTGTCAGCTGTGGATTCTCATTTAATATAGGCTGTCCCAGTTTATCAAGACAAAAATTGGTAAAATACAGAACACTTCCTACAACCTGTAGAAAAAAAGTCAGAAAATTGTCAGAAATGTGTCAGTATTTAGGTCAGATTGGTAGCATTTCTATAAATTTACACTGCTTGATACACTTCCATTTTTTCCCCCACTCTGTAAGAATTTACAAATACATGCCCACACCTGTCCAAGTATTTTTTCAACTGTTGTAGCCAAAACATGCTGAGCTTAACTGCTATTACAGTGACAAATTTAAGAAGATCTTATTTTAAATGGCAGTGTATATTGAATATGTAGAATAAAGAGTCAGACCTACCATTGAAGAGTACATAGTCAAAAACTTACACTAAAAGCTTCTTTAATTTTTTTAACAGAATTTGAGCTTGCTGTTTTACGGTCTTCTTCCAGAAGAACACTGGAGGGCTGTCATGAAAAATAAAAATGCAAAGAATTAATTAAAAATAACAGTAAATAGAAGAGCTCCAAAATTACTAAAGTACGTAAAAGGCACAGAATACGGAATACAGCTTCTATTCTTTCATGAAACATTAGTTAAACAGTAGGATGGAGATGTCTCCATTAGTCGTAATGCTTTCCACAGTCCAAAGTATGACACAGCTCATTTCTAATGTTTCCTTTGCTGAGAAATACACTGCACAAGAACATCTCTATTCTTATTTCAAAAGCCAAGAGAAAGATGGAGAGAAATGTGCCATTTCACCCTTTTATTCAAAGTGAATGCTAAAAAGTGAACGTTAAGTAAATCTTAAACGAATAAGTAAATTCTAAACTAAGAGAAGTGGAAATTTCCAGATTCTGTTGTTCATCTATGTTTATATATATAAAGTTGAGCAGACTATCAGAAGAGGATATGTTAAATTTGTACCTTCTGATCTATTCTTGAGGATTTAAAGCAACTTATTGCTTTTCTTTTACACAGATTTCAGTAGGAACAATTTTAAAGAAGCATTTTCATGGGCAGAAAGGATATTTTCTTTGTCTTGGTCCTCTATGTAACAAATAGTTATACAACATTTGTTTGATAGTTACTTGATTTGCAATTAAACAGAAAAAAACATCTAGAATTCAGCTATATAGCACTGCAGTATTCCAATATTCCCACTACAAAGATGCAAGAGAAGGAGCACCTGTGGCTTAACATTGAAGTGTGTTTTTTCTTGTTCACCTCTCTTCTGCTCTTCATATTTCTGAACTAAATTAAAAACAAAATCTTCAATTTCTTGATGATACTGCCTGTAACAGAGTGAAGAAGTATACAGAGACAAAGATGTGAGCAACACTGAAACATATACTGGATGTCTTTTTTTTTTTTTTTTTTTAAGGTTTTACCATTTACTAAAGAACTTAGAAAAGGGGCAGTCAACTTCTTTCCTGTCCTCCTCCCAACTCCCACCACCATGAATGCAACCTATTATTAGAGCCTGTACATTAGTGTGGCAAAATCAACTCAGAAGCAGAGGAAATTTAATTTACTGTATTTACCCCTCATGGGTATTGTATTTATCACTCATGAAACTCAAACTGCTATTCAGATTGACTCCAAGCTCCTGGAAGTCACACTTCATTTCATGATAAAAACAGGTATTACTAATGAAAACAACAGACCTCCTGTCATATTGCTCATTATCCTCTCTCCCCTTCAAGCTTAACAAGTTTATGTTCTTGAATAAAAACATCTATCCATCCTTTGGGCAAACACTAACGTATCCAAAGAAAAAAAAAAGTCCCATTTCCCGTCAGGACTGCTTTTTCTTGGCAAGTACTTACTTAGAAATTACATTGTTCATAAATAAAATCTGTAACAGAGGTCCATCAAATTTTGAGTTGTCCACTGAAATTCCACTAGAAAAACAGAACAGAGACACAGACAATGGTTACTTCATTAGCTTTAAATATTCCCTAACCATTCTATCACAGCAAAGAGTCTCTAAGTCTACAAAGAGGAAGGTTTGGCCAACACAAGTTCTGTTCTTTTATAAGTTCCTTTTCACTGAAACAGAAAGCACCCTCTTCTAAGCAAAGGTGGTTGCCTGATGTGAGGTGGAAAGAAAACAAACCACCACCACACTACAGAAATTTTCTAACTGCAGTAAACTGCTATAACATTTTATAAATAAAGTCTCTTATTCAACTCTTTTAATACACTGTTTTCACTGCTGAACTTTACAAGAAACTATTTCCCACCTTAAGTTTCATAAACAGACAAATACAAATAAAGTTACAGCAGTACAAACTAACTTCTAAAAGACATGGCAGACACCGATTTGTTACCTCAGGCAGCTATTATCTCAGAAAAACTATTTCAGATATATGTAAGTGATACAAAGCATTTTAAGTCAGCATTAACATACCTAGGACGAGTCAGGATATTCAGCTTCCTTTTAAGTTCCTGATGTTAATCTCTTGTTAAAGAACATTACTTGCTTTAGAAGACACTGACCCACACCTTAATCAAAGAATCAAAACAAATAAGAAAACATCTAACAAGAATTCCACAGAACAACAAATGGGATTTCAGAGCTTCCTTTTCACTAAACAGAGGATTATTTGTAAATCCATCCATTGCTGAAGAAACACAATAAAATGCAAAAAAACCCCCAACCCTAGCAGATGAAAGACAGGACTAGCTGTGGCAATCCAAACCGTGTAATTTTCGTGCACTATGGCTGGATTATCAGATTTATAGTAGAATCATCACCAAAAAAAGTCAACAGTAAGACATACATAAATAGAAAATAAACTATAAAAACCATTTCAGATTACACTCTGCTGCACTATCGAACCCAAAAGCCCTTTGGGGAACCAATCACAATTTAACAGTTTAAAGTTATTTCTAGCTATGTCAAAAATGGATTTTCAAAGTAATCGTACAGCTGTTTCTTTTCCCTAGAAAGGAGCCCAGCGTCACGTGTTTTGACAGTCGCCCGAGCACTCAAGAACCCCACTACCTCCTTCGCCAACTTAAGTTCACACAGACCCAGACGTTCTGAGGATAAAAGTTTTCAGAGAAAACTTCCTCTTAAGTGATGGAAGCAGAAGCCAGGAAAAAGCAGCCACCGCACCCAAAGGCGGGCTCGCAGCGGCCCAGGGTGAGGAGCCGCCGCGGCGAGGCTGCCCCCTCCCCGCCAAATTCAATCCTCATCGTCCCTCAGGACGCGCCAGGGCTCCGGCTGCCAGGCAGACACCGACAGGGCCTTCCCCCACAAAGGCACAGGGCTCGGCCTCCCGGAGGTCCCCGGGAGGCGGGAAAAGCCGGAGCCCTCCGGCCGGAGGCGGCCGGCAGCCCCAGGAGGGGCAGGCGCCAAGGCTGGCCCGGAAGGGAA